TGCAGTGACCCCAAGGTTTGGCTTGAACTTGGGTGCCTGTCGCACCCTGAAAGAGCCGGTAAGAGGGGCAGAAAGACAGCTACAGTGTAGAGCTTGTGTCGAGCTTGTGGGATGCCCTGGGTTCCATCCCAGTCTATGCTGGCCATGGCCCCCATACACACACACACGTGTGTGTGTGTGTGTGTAAAAATCTACTTTTAGGGAAGCACTGCACTGCACTGTCCTTCCATTGTTCATCGATTTGCTCAAGCGGGCCCAGTAATGTCTCCATTGTGAGACTCCATGTTACTGTGTTTGGCATATTGAATATGTCACGGAGAGCTTGCCAGGCTTTGCCATGCAGGTGAGATACTCTCAGTAGTTTGCCGGGCTCTCCGAGAGGGGCAGAGGAGCAGGAAAATAAAATAAATAAAAACACTTTGAGCTTCTTGGGGTGATCGTGTGGGAAGGCAAGCACAAAGCAGAGGCCCCTGACCGAGAGGAGGTTCTAGCGTTGCTGAGGGCATCCCACTGGGGCTCGCCCGGGGCTGATAAGGACCGTTGGAAGTGATCTCCAGAGATTAACATCTGTCTTCCTTGTTAAAAGGTCACAGAGGACATCGCTGTGACTGTCAGTCCTGCTTTGACAAGCCTGGGAAGGCCAGAGAGCATTTTGCTGTCTGCTCAAAAGACTCCATATGCCCAACTAATCCAGAATATTCCTCAACGTGGCCTATCTGAGGCTGCTTTATTCCATCACCCTACAGGAAATGTTTGTTGTTCTCCTGTTGCTTTGCAGGGTGTAACCCTCATCCCCTGGCTCTCTGAGTGGGGTCCCTAGGCCAGTGGCATCTGTATCCCCCAGAGTAAAGTAAAGTAAGTAAAGGCCCTCCCATTGATCGTCGATTTGCTCGAGCGGGCCCAGTAACGTCTCCATTGGAGACTTTGTTGTTACTGTGTCTGGCATATCGAATACTCTCAGTAGCTTGCCGGGCTCTCCGAGAGGGGCGGAGGAATCGAACTCGGAACTTGTTATAAATACCCATTCTCAGGCCCCGCCCTAGACCTTCCAAGGCTGAAACCCTGGAATGAGGCTCAGACATTGTGTGTGTGTGTGTGTGTGTGTGTGTGTGTGTGTGTGTGTGTGTGTCTGTTGAAGGCAGCTTCTGGGTAGAGCCTGGGGTCCTGGGGTTGACTCCAGAGATGCTCAGTCAGGTGTGGTCCTGGTGGTTTGGTGCTGGGACCCAGTAGTACTGCAGGCTCTGGGGCGTGCCTGGCACTGCTTTGGGGGTCGGGAGAACGCAGCGTCAGGGGACCGCCTGGCCATGAGCACGCCAGGCCGAGCTCCAGCGCCTCATGCTGCCTTCCCAGCCCTGCAGGTGGAGTTTGCGCAAGCCCTCTAGGGGGTCCCATCTCATGTCCAAGTTGGAGAAGGGCTGTGCTGGTGGGCGCGGCTAAAGTCATCCAGATGCCTGCCCATCACAGAGACGGCGAGAAGCCCAATTACACGGGTGATCTGCTCTGTGTCAGGCGAGAGGGAACAATATAGATGAGACTATAGGGCTCGCGTGAACAGCAGCCCCATCTGTCACATCAGCGGAAAACACGCTGGCTGAAGGGAATCCCGTGACAGCGAGTCACAGCAGCGCTCGGGAGAAATCCAGAAAGGCTCCATGCTTGGTCCCGCTGGCCCTGCTGACAAGAACACAGTGTGAGGGGTTCCAGAGGTGCACAGGACCCGCTCTCTCTCCTACAGGCATGGAGAGCTGCGGCCCAGCCGGGCTCTTGGTAATGGGCGCTTTTTAAATGAAGCAAAAGGTACAATTTCAAATGAATTGCTTTTTTAGCTGTCAAATAAAAGGCCTCCATTGTGTGTGTGCGAGGATTCTGAGAGCTCTAACCAGGAGCTGGAAGCAGGCAGAGGCGGTGAAGGGGAGAAAAGTTCCCCTCCAGAGCTGGCCGGGTTTAAAGACACACACCTCATGGTCCTTGTGCACATTTAGAATTCACGGCTCTTCACCAGCCGGGAGTTCCGCAAACAATTGTTTTATTAGGGACGGGAGAGGTGTAGGGGCTAAACCAGACAGTACTCAGGAGTTACTCCTGACTCAGTGCTCAGGGATCCCTCCTGGCAGTGCTCAGGGGCTACTCCTGACTCGGTGCTCAGGAATCACTCCTGGCAGTGCTCAGGGGCTACTCCTGACTCGGTGCTCTGGGATCACTCCTGGAAGTGCTCAAGGGACACTCCTGACTCGGTGCTCAGGGATCACTACTGGCAGTGCTCAGGGGCTACTCCTGACTCGGTGCTCAGGAATCACTCCTGGCAGTGCTCAGGGGATACTCCTGACTTGGTGCTCTGGGATCACTCCTGGCAGTGCTCAGGGGATACTCCTGATTCGGTGCTCAGGGATCACTCCTGGCAGTGCTCAGGGAATACTCCTGACTTGGTGCTCTGGGATCACTCCTGGCAGTGCTCAGGGGCTACTCCTGACTCTGTGCTCAGGGATCACTCCTGGAAGTGCTCAGGGAATACTCCTGACTCAGGGCTCAGAGATCACTTCCAGTGATGCTCAAGAATTGAGCTGGTGTCAGCTGCATGCCAGGCAAGCACCCTAAGCCCGTCCTCTCTCTCCAAGTCCCTGAACCACTTGGTTTGAGGAGAGATAATATCCTAATCACGAGACACCATCGTGATCATCAGTGTGGCTTTAACCAGATCACCGTGATTCCATCCTAGGCACAGACGTATTTGCGGCATATTTACACCCGAACATTTTTCTTTGTCTTGAATTTAATGCCAAGTGATCATTGAACCCCATGGCATGAAACTCTATCTTTGCTATTGATAAAGACAAGTTCCTCAGCCTAGGCAATGGAAGAAAACTATCAAAGAATGCAAAGGGCCCTTTCCGGGCCGCCAGACGTGCGTGTAGGGGCCATCCACATGAGCCTCGGTGGAAAGGCGTTGTTGCAGACAGCAGAATCGTGGGCTGCTCTGCCCAAGGCCAACCCCTGCCTCTTCCCTTTCATTCCCTTGAGGCTTTGCACTGCAATTAGTCTTGCATTCATGCCTTTAGTATCTTTGTGGGTACTGAAATGCCTCTGCAGAAAATAATTAGTGTACCTTCTCCCTCCCCTGGCCCTAGGTACCTCTAAGCTGTACACCAGGCAAACACCAGCATGGTGATACCTGCTTACTCAGCCTGAGGAGAACCTTGGCAGTTGGCACTGCCTTTAGGCCTGGGCACAGATGAAGGGGCAGGGCTTCCCACACTTGAATGTGCCCACCAAGCTCCAGGGGTCTTATTGAAAGCGAACATTGGGAAGGGGAGGGAGGTCTGGGCTGAAACCTCTGAGTTGGCATTTCTGGCGAGCTCCCAGGCAATACTGCAGTGACAGGGGCCCTCTGGCAGGAACAATGCAAGCTCTGGACTCTCAGAACTCTGCCTGCAGAACCTGCTGTGAGCAGCGGGGGGTCTGGCCACCCTGTGATTTAGGGGTTCCTTGAAAGCAGACTCTGGATCTGACACTTTTTTTTTGGGGGGGTGGTTATGGCTTTGTTTTCTGACTGATGTTTGGCCCAGGTCACTGCACCCAGTGTGTATGTATTTATTTAATGACACAGTCTTGGCTTTGTTCCAAAGGGGATTTTTAAATGTACTTAACCCTTAGCAGGTAGGTCCTAAGGAGATGTGTGATGGAACACCCTGGGAAGAAAGTTAGTGCGGGAGTGGTGTGTGTGTGTGTGTGTGTGTGTGTGTGTGTGTGTGTGTGTGTGTTGGGAGGGGGGCGTCACAAATCGACTGGGCTCCAGTTCCCACGGAGTACCCCACCACCTGCCGGCTGCCTTCCTCTGAAATAAATGCTCCCTTCCTTAAAAGCGGTTTCTTCTGGCGATCAGACTTGGGCCAAGGAGGGAGCTTAAAAACAAAACAAAACAAAACAAAAAAACATCACAAACAACCCAGGCCAACCCAGAAAGCCCAGCGAAGCGGAAAAGATTCCCCGAACATCAAAAGCCCAACTCTGGGGCGGCGGGACGCGCGTGCTGCTCGCTCTGCCCGCGCGGGTCGGCTTGGGGGCGCCCCCATCGCGCGCCCCCCACTCCCCCTCCCCAGCCCCCAAAACAGCGGGTCCCGGCAGGGCTGCAGGCTCGGTGCAAGACTGCTTGTGAGCTGGGCTGGAGCAATTAATCTGCCCGTGCATCTCGGGCATCGGGCGGAGGAGGAGGAGAAGGAGGAGGAGGGTGTGCGCGTCTGGGGAGGGGGTGGATCGCAGGTCGCCTCGAGGGTCGCGGGGACCCGCTGCAGCAGCGCGGAGCCCCCCACGGCGCCGTAAGCGGCCCCGCTCTCGGCCGGGGAGGAGGGCGAGCACCGGGGAGAAGGCGGCCGATTATATATTGGTCACTCGCTGAGCCTCCCGGCGCGGAGAGGCGGGGAGGCGCGCACGGGCGGGTGCGCCCCCGGGGAGGCGTCCACGTGCTGGGGAGGAGGGAGAGCGGGCGGGAGCGGAGGTGGAGGGAGGCGAGAGCGGCGGGCGGGAGGCGCCACGGGCTCGCAGACGCAGGCGCTGGCAGCCGGAGAGAAAGTTCCCGGCCACGGCTCGGGCCTCCCCCCCCCCACGCCGCCCCACCGGCAGGGCCCACGTCCAGGCGAGGATTCCCCCGGTGCCCTCGCGTCCAGCCGGTCTCTCCAGCCGCCGCCGCCAAACTTGGAGCCGGGAGAGGATGCTCGGGGTGGGAGCCGCGGTGCAGGGCGCAGGGGCGCGCTGAGTGGCCCCCCGCGCGCGAGCTGGGCACGGCGGGCAGGTAGCGGCTGCAGCGCCGGGACTGCGCCAGCCCCGAGAGCGGCCCGCGCCCCCGTGCCGGCGCCCTCGCCCCCGCCCCCGCCGCCGTCGCCGCCGCCGCCTCGCCACCGAGCCATGGAGCGCGGAGCGCGCACGCCGCGCGCGGGACTCTGAGCCCCGGCCGCGCCGCGCGCCCGCACCCCGCAGCCCCGGAGTCCCCCCGCGCCGCTCCAGCCCCGCGCCCGCCGCTCCAGCCCCGGCGCTCCGGGATGGCGCCCCGCGGGCCCCTCCGGCCACGCAAAGTTCGCAGGAGGCGAGAGATGCTGCCGCAGCAAGTGGGCTTCGTGTGCGCCGTGCTGGCCCTGCTGTGCTGTGCGTCCGGCCTTTGGGGAAGCTTGGGTAGGTGCCGGGGTGAGGGCGCCCCTGGGAGTTGGGGTGGGGAGGGAGGGGGTCGGGGGCTCGGGCTGGGAAGCCGCCGGGTAGCCCCGAGAGGTGTCTCCCCTTCCCGCCCCGCCAGGCGGGTCCCCGGGGGGTGCGTCCAGTCCCCCCCCACCCCCTCTTCCCGCCGTGCAGGTGAGCCCAGGAGGCCTGATTGATGCCCGCGCGCTGGGCTGCGGCGCGCGCTCCCCGGAGCAGCGCGGGGGTCCCCCGGGGGCTCAGGACGCGGCTGCGGGTCTGTTACTAAGGGCGAGAGCCGGCACGCCGGCCCCGCGGTGCCAGAGTTCTGTCCCCGGAGTGCGCGGGGGAGTGGGCAGCGGCGGGCCCGGGTCCGAGTGCGGATTCTTGTGGAGCAAGGGAGGGCCCCCTTGGCTCTTTGGCGGAGCCCAAAGCGCGCTTGTGCTCCGCGTGCCTGGAAAACCCAGCCTCGGGAGCCAGGAACTGCTCCCCAGTCCCTGCTCCAAGACCCCCGGGGTCCCTGCGGGGTGTCCTGACCTCCCTCTCGAAACGCAGGGCTGCTAGGGGCTCTCTGTGTCCACGGGGAAGGTCGCCCTACATGTCAGCATCGCTTGCCTCCACTTGTTAACGCCCAGAGGGGCAGAGGGCTGGGGTCCACACTCCATCCATATTTGGGACAGCTTAGTATTCGTCCATTGGAACGGAGAGAAGAAACTTGGGGGGCGGGGTGGGGAACATGTGTTGGGGGTGCTCTCAGCCCTTGTGGAGTCTTGAGAAAACACTGAGCTGACTGACTTTCCACTTTAGTTGATGCTCTGGCCCTTTCACTCTGGTATTTGGTATTTATGGAAGAGCCTGCAGACGGTCTAGCCATGCAATGCATGGAACCTTCCCAGCCATCGGAGAGGGAGCATTTAGAGAGGTCTGAGTGTTGGGTGAAAGTCAGATGGAATTTGAGGAAACTTAAAAGGCACGCCGTTCAAAGTCCCCACGTTGTGATCTGAGAACATAAGGTTAAAGAGAGGCCCTTTTCAACGGGAACCCAGAAAGGTTATTTGAACACTTTAATGTCAGGTGCTTTACCACTGGACAAGCGGGTGTGTCTCCCCTCCACACCACCATCACCACACACACACTTCAATTACACACCAGAAATAACAAAATGCTTAGGGGCTCTGGGGTGTCAGCAGTTTGGAAGAGATATTATTACCCAGCTCTGGCAGTGCGTGCATCTCGAGAGGTAAATGAATACTTTAAAGGTGTCCAGGTGAGAATCAGTTTTATTTGCTGGATCAGGAAGTGCCTTAAAGGGGTTCACTTTTGATTCCAGACCCCCACCCCAACAATCTCCCTTCTGACTCAGTCTGTCCTCGGACCCCCTAGCATGGGGCATCACCTTGTTAATGCAGAATCCGCATCCTAGCTCAGACCTGAATCCAGAGCTTTGTGATTTTGTTTGTTTTTACCTCACACCCAGCGATGCTCAGAGCTTGCTCCTGGCTCTGTGCTGTGGGATACTCTTTGAAAGCCTCAAGGGACCCTCTGGGGTGCTAGGGAGTGAACCTGGGTCATTGGTGTGCAAAGCAGGTACCCTACCCACAGTCCTTGCTCTGGCCCCTAAAGCCACCTCACTTTCACAAGATCCTCAGGTGATCCTGAGCATAGTTCAGGTCCAGCAGCCCCAGGGCCAGATCCTGCCCACCTTCCCTACCTGCAGACAAGCAGACTTCTGCTCCAGGGGTTGTTCCTGCCTGGGTGAGACCTTGGCCACTGGGGCATGATGGATACTCACTGTTGACTCCCCAGAGGCGGTGGCGGTCAGATCGCCAGAATGGTCAGATAGAGCCACGTGGCACTGAAAACCGCTGGATCTAATTTTCCTGTTGGGAACAGGTGCCCTGGCCCAGCCAGTCACGGTGTTGGTCCCCCCGACGGGGGTCACTGGCTCAAAGCTAGATCCAGGCACGGAAGGTCACGGGAGGGGAAGGGAAGGCAGGCACTAGCCCGACCTCATGGCACCTGTGACTTATTTTCCAACCCAGGCCACAAGACAGCCTCTGCCAGCCAGCATGCCCTGCCAGACACGTGGCGAAACCGAAAATTACTGGCGCCAGTGAATGAGACTGAGCCAGCCAAGAACTGTACAGATCCCGGTAAGAACGAGACACCCCCACCTCCTCAGCTTGCCCCCACCTCCCAGGGTCTGGCCTGGAGTAGGCGTGTGCGGGACCCTCACAGTCGAAGCGTGATGTGCAGCTATAGGGGCCAGAGTGCCCAGGGGCATCGGCCGATCAGCTCTGCTCTGAGACTTCCTCGAGGCAGCAATGGGAAAGGTCATTGTTCAGGAGTGTTTTATTCTGTAACTTCACTGTGTGGGTCTCACCTGACTCCTCACTGCCAAGTGTCACTTGCGTCTCCCGGGTTTGACTCGCAGGGCGGATGTCTTTGTTTCGGTGCTCTTTGGTTCTTTGTACCCATTCTCTGGAGCTCCTGAGGCAGCAATTCCCACAGTGTGGGCAGAGGGCACCCGCCATGTCAGGGTCCCGGCTCCCCTCGGCAGCTGCCAGGCGCTGTCTCCGTGGGTGTCCTTCTCAGGAGGGGGAACTGTTGCTGGCTCTCGGGGGCACTCTGGATGTCCTATGCTGGCTCCTTTGGGCGACCTGGCGAGAATGTGGAGTCTCTTATGTCATGGGCAGTCTGGGCTCCGTTGCGGGGAACATTCTGGGGCGTGTGTGGGGGCTGCCGGCAGCGGGAGGATTGGAAACTGCTTGGGTCCTGCGTTCTGTGGGCCGAGCTCGGTGCTGGTTTCCACGCTGGCTGGCCTGTGGGAGATGGGCACCAAGGGGGTGCTGGATCCGAAAGCTCTGAGGTTTGGCTCTCCCTGCGCAGTGCCTGGCGTTTCCACCCCGTGGCTGGTACATCCTGTCATCTTGGTTTCTCGCCTTTGGAGTGAATGGGTGGACCTGGTGCTCGCACCAGGGGCACCCGGAAATGGAAACCCTTGGCCAGGGAGTGGGTTGGGAAGTCGGGAAAGCTCAGGGAACTGCTCCGGGCTGTGAGGCTGGTCCTGGCCCCCAGGTGGGCGGGATGCAGATGCTTAGGGAAGTGCACCAGGCTGTGACACAGGCTGGCCCTGCTTCCCAGGTGGGCAGGATGCAGATGCTCAGGGAACTGCTCTGGGCTGTGAGGCTGGCCCTGGCCCCCAGGTGGGCGGGATGCAGATGCCCAGGGAACTGCTCTGGGCTGTGAGGCTGGCCCTGGCCCCCAAGTGGGCGGGATGCAGATGCTCAGGGAACTGCTCTGGGCTGTGAGGCTGGTCCTGGCCCCCAGGTGGGCAGGATGCAGATGCTCAGGGAACTGCACCAGATTGTGACACAGGCTGGCCCTGGTTCCAAGGTGAGCAGGATGCAGATGCTCAGGGAACTATTTTGGGCTTTGAGGTTGCCCCTGGTCCCCAGATGGGCAGGATGCAGATGCTCAGGGAACTGCTCTGGGCTGTGAGGCTGGCCCTGGCCCCAGGTGGGAGGGATGCAGATGCTCAATGCGTTGTTTATGGAGGGCCTGAAGCTCCCCTGCGTCTGTCCTCTCGGCCACCAGAATCCCTCCCTTTGGAGAAGGGCATTTGGGTCCTGAAGAAGCAGCTAAGCCCCTGTGAACGTGGACCATCCATTCCCGAGCGAGTCCATCTAACCTGGGATGGGGGCCCGCTGGCAGGACTGAGACCTCCTTAGCCAGAAGTGGGGGGTGATGCGTGTGCTGAGTGGCATGGGAACCTGTGTGAAAGCTCCAAGGATGGGGGAACCCCAGAGTTTGCTTTGCCCACCAGTGGAACGGGGCCCTGTGGACACAGAGAAAAGCAATCACGGTCATTTCTAGCTGGACAGTGGCCTCACCTCGGACCTGCTCTCTCTATGCCCCTCTTCCTAGCATGTTATCTCTCACCTGGACACTGGCGGACAGAGCGTCCCACCTCTGAGTGTCCCTGGGGCCCCTGGGGCCACCGGTTATTCAGTGTCTGTTGAGACACGGCTCCAGCCGGGCGGCGGTCAGATGGTCTGGGCCTTGTCCGTTTTGTGGAGCAGGACATGCTGGGCCTTGTCCGTCTTACGGAGCGGGACGTGGCGGGAAACAGGGATAATTAGAGCGATTAACACCTGCATCGTGCTGGCTTTGTGCCGCCCGTCCCCACACCAGGGTCTTGAGTTTGGTCAGCATGGGCAGGATGCCACTTCTGTCCCTTGCGTAGAATGTTCTGGAATGGGATCCTTGGTGATGTCTGCATAAAGGAGCCAGAAGACGCGCTCAGAAGCCTGGTGGCTTCTGAAGATCTCTCAGCCACCCACTATGACTCTGAGAGCCTTGGCTGCAGACCCCCTACCCCCCACCCCTCCCCACCTTACGTGCTGCCTAGCAACCCCCCAAGTCTCGCCCCTGAGCCGCTTCCCACTCTGATGCAGATGCCGGCTCTGGACGTCCTCAGGCAGAGCGGCCTGGCTGTGGCCCCTCAGGCGGTGAGCGAGGACCCCCAGTGCCCCCCAGGCCCCATGCGGTGTGGCCTTGTTCTTGGGGCCAAGACCACCCGGAGGCGTGAGGAGCTGTGAAATTGTTGGCTCGGTCCCTGGGATGCCAGCTCAGGTGAAGAGGGGTGTGATTCAGTTTCCCTCTGTCTGTGGACTCGGGGGTCGTCCAGCGTGGCAGCTCCAGCTTCGTGTCCTCTCAGACCCCCAGAAGCAGGCCTGTGGTGCGGCTGAGCCCTGGGATCTCCTGGCCTGCCAGTGTCTAGGGCCGGGGGGAGGGGGAGCAAGGTCCCCGCTAACTCAGACCCTGCCCCCAGGTTCTGCCTCTGGAGGGGGACAGCTAAGGCCATGTCCTCCGACCCCACCTTGGGAGTTGCACAGGTGGGCATCTGGGGAGCCGACACGTGGTTCTTTGTAATTGCCCACCATGGGATCCCCTCTTGGGGCTGCTGCTGTAGGAACAGGTGGTCAGTGCCTCCACTGCCAGATCGGGGTTCAGGGGTGACGCGTGGCACTGATGGTTGCTGTTCCTCACAGTTAGGACAGCCGTCCATGGACAACCAGCAGGAGGCGGGCATTGGGGGACCCTAATCTCCATTCAGTCCCCCAACCTGGCCCCCTCAGTCTCCTGGGTGGGCAGGTGAGCACTCTCCAGGATGGGGCAGGTGGGAGCTTTCTAAGCTCCCGACTGGTCATGACGCCTGGCACCCACTGGCCACAGTGGACCCACACGCCTTGTGCTGGCCGGACCCTCCAGTGCCATTTAGGACCTTGACCTGGGGGTCTCCTGAGACTTGGCATACACCCAGCGATGCTCAGGGGTTCCTCCTGGCTCTGCACTCAGGAATCACTCCTGGCGGTGCTCGGGGGACCATATGGGATGCTGGGGATTGAACCTGGGTCGGCCGTGTGCAAGGCAAATGCCCTACCCGCTGTGCTATCGCTCTGCGCCCCCCTCCCTCCCCCATAGTGAGTTTAATGGCGAGTCTCACTGTGCAAACCCATGTAACTGCCTTGCTGTCTGTTCCATGCCCAGAAAAAAGATCCTGAACACCAGGGGCCCTGGGGGCTGCTGTCACCTGTGTGGAAGGGGGGCCCAGATACTGGTTTATTTAGAAACCACCCTGGGCTATGCCTGGTTGCAGGCTGAGTGGACAGTCCCTGGCCCCGGCCTCGTGCCTCCACGTGGCTGAACTTCCACGGAAGCTTGTCAGGAATGTGTAGTCTCAGCACTCCCAGCTGCCCCCCGACCTGGTCACCAGACTCATGCCCTCACGAGATTCCCGGCCCCCCAAGCATGCTCTAGGCTGAGCAGCTGGGGCTGGAAGACTCAGTCCCTGCCTGAACCCCCTTGACTGGGGGTCGGCAAGTACTGAAAAGCCGGGAGACTTGGTTTCACCCCGTGATGCTCCTGAAAACCAGTTTGGTTTCTTTCTTTAAATGTAGGGAAGCAGATGAGGGGGTGGGGGTTGGGGGGGGGAGGCGTCATTTCTGACTCAGATGTCTCATGGGAAAGTCAGTTGCTTCCCCCCCCTCCAACCCCCCGCTCCCTGCCAGCCACCCTCTTGACCTTAGAGGTTTATTGCACGCTTGGTTCAGAGTGAGCCCCCAAAAGGGGAAGTGGGTCTGTCCACGCACCATGCATGAGACAGGAATGTGTGGCGGGGACTGGGGGGGGGGTCTCTCAGGAACCGCTCAGCACTCCCTTCCACACTGAGTTCCGCGGGCAAGGTTGCCCAGACGGCAGAGATGCAATCCTGCACCCCTGCATCCCTGTTCTGGCCCTGGCTGGGAGTCGCCAGCCCTGTTCCTGCTGCAGGCCCGCCTTCTGGCCATGGCTTCTGCCTCTGCGTCACTCATGCAGAGAGAGATGAGCTGGGATGTGGCTCCCTCTTCCTCCTCTCTGTGGGTCTTAGACCTCATCGAGATACAGGAGCCACTGTGAGAATCTGCTTTCAAATATCATCACACCTGGGGCTTCTGCGAGTCCTCGTAGGAATGTCGGGGGCGCCCTATCACGGTCCAGATCAAGAACCAGCAAGTTTCTGGACTTCCCAGTGGGAGAGAGCTAGGTCTGGAGGCCACTGCTCCTTGCTGGCCTGCAGGGAGACCCTCAGTGAGGGAAGAAGATGCTCAGGAAAAAAGAGAGACCTCGGCCCTAGCGCCTGCAGATCAGAACCGGACACAGATGCGTTTTGCGTTTCGGAGTTTCCGGTAACTTCCGGGGTCCTCTGACATCAGGTGGCCTGCCAAGGCCTCCTGTCTCAGAGCTCGTGGCTGGCACCAGTCCTGGCCAAGTTATATTGGTGGTCTCCGCCAGGGAGACTATAAAAGGAGAAAGAAAGCCTCGGTTGCTTATTTTGTTGGGGGCCATACCCAGCAGTGCTCAGGGATTACTCCTGCCTCTGTGCTCAGGGATCAGTCTTGTTGGGTTTCAGGGGCCCATCTGCAGTGCTGGGGAGAGAACTCCTGGTTGGTTGTGTGCAAAACAAGTGCCTCAGCCCCTGTATTATCTCTCTAGCCCCAGCTTTGGTGTTTTTTGTTTTTTTGTTTTTTAAATTTTGTTGTTGTTGTTTTGGTGTGGGAGGTCACTCCCATTGGAACTAATGAGTGTGTGAGGTGCTGGGGGTGGAACC